CTTCTTGCACAAATTTATGTCAGAAATGAAATGAAGGCAGAATGTAGTCACGTGTTTTACATGTGACATAATCTTATATAAGTATTTAGATATCTTCACATCTTAGATAAATGTATAGAAAAATTGTTTCTGATAATTCTCTAACAAAAGCCCAGGATTACTATTTGATATTATACTATAGTTTTCATTCCTGCCCTATCTAGCATGGTCAAATGAAATCTGAAGAGCTCCTTTTGGTGCTCAGAAGAAGAAACAGTATACAGGGCAGGTGCCAGGGAAAGGGAAAATAAATAAGGGAGAGAGAGGAGAAATATGTGCCATTAGGTGTGTCGGATTATTTTTTTAATTCATTTAAATTTGTTTTATCTACCTGCCTTTCAACTTTCTTCTATCCAAACTTGAAAAATTATCTTAAATAGTTTGATACAAATTATTTGTGTCTTTATTAGGAATTTCTTACCATACTCTACTTGATAGATGAGCCTAAAAGAGTTAGTTCTGATAACTGATACTTAACAGAGATACTGAGGTCCTTGGTTGAAGGCATGTAAACAGTGCATACAATTTTAAAAATGTTTCTTTCCTGGGCCATTAATTCAAAATGCTATTAGAAATGTTTAATATCTTTTCTTTTTTTACATTTTTTTATTGAAGTATAGTTGATACACAATGTTGTTTTAGTTTCAGGTGTACAGCAAAGTGATGCAGTAATACATACATATATATCTTTTTTTTTCAGATTCTTTTCCCTTATAGGTTCTTTTATACAGCTGAGTAATATTCCATTGTATAAATATACCACATCTTTTTTATCCATTCATCTGTTGATGGACACTTAGGTTGTTTCCATGTCTTGGCTGTTGTAAACAGTGCTGTAATGAACATTGGGGTGTAGGTATCTTTTCAAATTACAGTTTTCTCCAGATATATGCCCAGGAGTGGGATTGCAGGATCATATGGTAGCTCTATTTTTAGTTTTTAAAAAAACCTCCATACTGTTCTGAATAGTGGCTGCATCAATTTACATTCCCACCAACAGTGTAGGAGGGTTCCTTTTTCTCCACACCTTCTCCAGCATTTATTATTTGCAGACTTTTTGATGGTGGCCATTCCGACCGGTGTGAGCTCATACCCCACTGTAGTTTTGATTTGCATTTCTCTAATAATTAGTAATGTTGAGCATATTTTCATGTGCCTTTTGGCCATCCGTATGCCTTCTTTGGGGAAATGTCTATTTAGATCTTCTGCCCAGTTTTTGATTGTTTTGTTTTGCTTTTTATTGAGCTGTATGTGCTGTTTGTATATCTTGGAGATTAATCCCTTGTCAGTCACATCATTTGCAAATATTTTCTCCCATTCTGTAGGTTGTCTTTTTGTTTTGTTTATGGTTTCCTTTGCCGTGCAAAACTTTTAAGTTTAATTAGATCCCATTTGTTTGTGTGTGTGTGTGTTCTTATTTCCATACTCTAGGAGATGGAGACAAAAAGATATTGCTGCAATTTATGTCAAAAAGTGTTCTGCCTGTGTTTTCCTCTAGGAGTTTTATAGTATCCAGTCTTACATTTAAGTCTTTAATCCAGAAAAATGTCTAATATCTTTTCCATGTCAAATATACATTTCCCTATAATTTGCCTCAAAAATTGTAAAGAGATTGTTCAAGGGCAAATTAACCTAAAGGCAATGAAGAGATGATTAACAATAGTGAACTACTCCCAGAATGCTGCTGCTCTTATCAATCAAATAATATGGGACTCTAAAAGACTAAACTTTCTTATACCATCTCCATTCTCACTCCACTCCTCAAAGATAGTCACTTGTAATAGTTTAGTGTAAATATTTCTAGATGTTGATCCCCCCAGTCTGTGCCATGCACTGTTGCACATGCTGGTGATATAACAGTGCACAAGAACAGACCGACTCTCTGATCTTGAGGTCTTTACAGTCTAGTGGATAAATCATAAAATGAATGAACAAACTAATAAACATATGGCATGACATCAGCAGTGGTAAGTGCTAAGAAGAAGTCTATAGAAGGATAAAGACAATAAAAGTGTTTACTCTTTGAGTAGCGGGGTCAAGGAAGCCCTTTCTACCTAAATGCAGTGAGGAAATGATCCACACATCTTGAAAAAGAGATTCTAAGCAGAGGGAATGGCAAGTGCAAAGACCCTGAGCAGAAGCAAGCTTGGCAGGTTTGAGTATGCCAAGGAGGCCAGCATTGCTGAAGCAGAATGAATAAGGTGGAAATTGTTAAAAGATAAAGGTAGAGACATAGCTTGTGGTGAGCTACATAGGGCTGTATGAATTAGGCACTGACATGGTCTGACTTATACTTTAAAGGAGGCTGACACTGGCTGGAAATTCTGACAGCAGTAAATGTTGCAATCTTGAGTCTGAAAGTAGTCTGGAGGCAGGATTACTTCTTTGGGGGACCTCCGCCTTACCGCTTAAGGCCTTTAATTGATTGGATCAGGCCCACTCACATTATGGAGGGTAGTCTGCTCTACTCAGTCTATTGATTTAAATGTTAATCACATCTAAAATATACCTTCACAGCAACATCTAGACTGGTGTTTGACCAGACAACTAAGCATCATAACCTAGCCATGTGAACATATAAAATTAACCATCACAGAGGTATTTTTGGTTTTTCCAAGACTTCCTTTTGTAGTTATACAATAGAATATTTCATGCTTTTCTCTTTATGTACTCTCCTCCTTTATTTCTATATTCATTAATCTATATCACTCTTTTTTCCCTGAAACTATATCTTATTTCATTTTCAATAAATGACATCATGCATCATGACTAAGTGATTGCCAGACTCCTGGGTACCACATCCCTATATGAACTCTCATTTTCATATGCTAATTTTGTCATATTTGATGATCTGTCATGGATAATTTATGATTTTAGGACATATAGCCCTAAAGTCATCCACATCAGATTTGCAAAGGAGCAATTGGCAACCATTACTATGTGCCTGTCATCGTACTTAGAGTAGCTAATAAAACAAGATAGCAGTAGAATTCCTGGAGCATGGTGACATCACAGGATTACAGCACAATGATTCCCATTCCATCTGTCCTGCTCTGTGGTTTTATTTGATCACTGCATGAGGAATAATAGAAATGGCATAAGCCCTGAAATTTTCAAACCATGTAGTGTAGTGACTTGCCGTAATTGGCTAAGGAATCTAATTTTAAATGGTCAAAAGTAGAAAAAAAATATTTTGCTTTGAATTACGACATCCATGTGTTAAGTATAAATGAAAGTCATCCAAACGTAAGAGCCAAATGAGAATTAAATATGATTTAGGGTAAGTATTAATCAATATTTTTTAATATCTTTATTGGAGTATAATTGCTTTGCAATGCTGTGTTAGTTTCTGCTGTACAACAAACAAAGTGAATCAGCTATACGTATTCATATATCCCCATATCCCCTCCCTCTTGCTTCTCCCTCCCACCCCTCTAGTTGGACACAAATCACCGAGCTGATCTCCCTGTGCTATGCAACAGCTTCCCACTAGCCTTCCATTTTACACTTGGTAGTATATATATGTCAATGCTACTCTCTCACTTCGTCCCAGCTTCAATATTAACTTCCAAGTATGTCTTTTTTATCTTCATATGTATAAATATAATTTTACAACTCCAGCACTTAAGTTGTATATAGTTTTTCATAAGGCATTTCATAAATGCATTCACACTTATTTAGTACTATGAAAAATAAATATTGGCAAATGACTGACATCTATATGCTTATAAACAGTAGCATATAGAGGAAGTCATATTATCTTTTGAGTCTCTTTTTGGTAGTTTTTGCTCTCTGGAGATGATGTGTGACTTGTTCTGAAGGCTGTAGCACTCGCTGTCGTCTCTGGCTACCTTCCTTCCATCGGCTCATAATCCTTAGGCCTCACTCTGTGCAAAGAAATTTACTAGCGCGAATGGAACCCAAAGGTCAAAGCTAAAGTGCGCCAAAAATAGCTCTGAGTTATTAAATTGGTGCGCCAACAAGGAAAAAACCTAGTCAAGCGAAGGGCAGAGCTGACCTGTATTCTTCCTGAAGGCAAAGCTCAATTGCTCTGTAAAAGCCCCTTTTGTATTTTGTGGGGAGCCTTTCACACTATCTTGCCAGTTCAGACCTTTAGGAAGTTCTGGATCACTGGAGCTGCCCACCCTTAATGCAGCTATTGTTACTGGTCAGTCCTGTCCACATCATCTACCTGGAGCTTATACTGGAGAGTGGCAGGGCAGTGCTTTCAGCTCCTGGTCACTTCCTCCTCACACAGCTGATTTCCTCAGCCAGCAGTTCTAAGCCCATCAGATCTCCACCCTCAAGACATCATTTGCTTTAACTTTTCCACCTGACACTGGCTAAATCACCTAAAATTAGCTTTCAAAATAATCCACTTGTTTTCATCTTTATTTTTCAAGTTATTATTTTCCTAAAATTTAGGGATACCCATCAAATAAAATAACACATGTGAATGACTTCTGTAAACTCCAAGGCCTTATTCAAATAGCATGTACTTTCTGTACTGAATATACACAAGCTTATTAAATATAAGACAACTTTTATAGCTTCGACTCCCCTTTTTCTTTCCACTCCAGTTGCTTCCTTTAATAGACCTTCGTTTACGAACTCTCTTCCCTATCATATATTAGTTTCATTTATTATTGGAATAATATATTATTATATATTAATATATTATAAATATATTAATATAATCGATATCTCCAGACTCATATCATTGTACTTAAATGTTTGGGAATGCTCAAATGTTCAAGTCCATTAGTCTTTGCCCTCAGAAGATGACCAATTTGAGAAATTCAGAGATTTCAAAATGTTAACCCAATCATTTTTTAAGACAGTTCATATTAAAAGATGATCAGAGAGTGACTTGCAATACTTTAAATCCTATTGCCATGCTTGTTTTGTTATTAGTTTTTCTTCACTTTTTCCTAAACTTTAACCACTATAAATTTTTGTAGAAGACTGCTGGATACTGATGATGAGCTCAGTGACATTCAGTCGGATTCGGTCCCATCGGAAGTCCGGGACTGGTTGGCTTCTACCTTTACACGGAAAATGGGGATGATGAAAAAGAAATCTGAGGAAAAACCAAGATTTCGGAGCATTGTGCATGCTGTTCAAGCTGGAATTTTTGTGGAAAGGTAAGTGAAGTTGTTGGTATCTCAAGACAAAATTTAAAAGACAGCAAATATACTTACTATGTCAAAGTTATGAGAGTCCTGTATTTTATTTATTGAGCAAAACTGTAATCATAAGTATAATTGGAATGAACAGATTTAGGACTTTATGGTGAATTTACCTATAACAAAAATATCTTGTCCTGGATTTATTATTTTCATTTATTTTTAAATTGACATAAAGACTAAAAGCAAAGGCTTTTGAATGACCATTCTCCTCAGATGAACTTTTGTGAATAACTGTTTATAATACATTTATAAACACATTTATATGCTTTACACCTAATAATACATTTATATGCTTTACACCTAATTTTACCCAAATACAATGTAACACCCAATAAAATAAGTTCTATACTACATACCAAAATCAAGCAGGCCTTTTCTTGGCACTAAAAAGAAGACCATTCTCTTACCATTGTGGAATAAAGCTCTCTCGTGTCCACTTTCCTTGAAGAACTTTTCAACCTTTCTGTCACTGAAGCATTTCTGTCACTTGCTGGCCCCTAGAAACACCAGAGTTTCTAAAGTGAAATACATGTTAATATGACCCAATTTAAATTCTTTAGCCTTTAAGAGGACAGCTTATTTTTCTGTCTGGAAACAAGATGTTTCAGAACTAAAACTACGAAAAGACTTGAAATAACATCTAATATCTGACAATGTTGAAAACTAGTTCTTAGAAATCCCTTGGATTAAAAAGCAATTACATTACATTAAATTATACATAAAAAGGTTATTTTAACATTTTTGAAACAAAATCGAGGAACAGAGAAATTTTTTATCAATGTATCTAAAATTAAATTTAAGGGAGACCACATCATTTTTTATCTTCAGACATCTCTAGTCATTACCTCTAATGAACTTCATAAACTTCCGTTTTCTTCTTCTAACAGAACAATGAGAAGCACTCTTGGGTTTCTAAAAATCTAAATGACAATGCATTGCAAGAAGTATTCGAAGTGATTTAAAGATGTATTATAACCATAAGACATGAAGCATCTAGGATCTTGGTTTATGACTATATTACCCAAAATAACAAACACTCAGTGATTATTCAAATTATTTTGACTATTTCTTGACTATATCTAGTTGGCTTTGATAAAAGAACCCTCATAATAACCATTATGAGCTTATAATCATGATGAGTTAGGTGAGATGACAACCCCCCCACCCCTAGTGCATAAACTGCTCCCAGCTCTGCCAGGTGGGACCAGAAATCTGAAACAGAGAGGTAGAGAGGGCTGGAGAGAAATAATTTTTGTAATTATGTTCCTATTTTTTAAAACAACTTAGGCAAGTGTATGACATTATTGATTTTCCTTAATATAAATTCGAAAACATCTAAATCATAGTTCAGAAAGTCAGTGAGAGAATCAGAGAAAAAAGAGTACATGTTTGCTTTAATGAAGGAATGTATATTTTGTCTTTTTTGTTTAGGAAAATATTGCAGAACTTGGCAAACTAAAAAGAAATGTAAATTATTAAAGTAAACCAACTAAATTTCCATTCCCATTAAATAGAAAAATCAAGACAAATTCTGTGAAATATATTGACATGTTAAACTTTCAGTTTTTTTATATGCTACACAGAAATATCAAAACATACTTAAGGTAACTAAATTAGCAAGCAGTCTTAAAGAAATTAATGTGCTAAAAACACATGGAAATGAAATTTTTAAATTACTTTTAAATCCCCATTAGTAAGTGTGTAAACAGAGTGAGATATGTTTATCTTGAATTTTCAAAAACAATCATCTTCAGTCTTGAAACTTAGAAAGTCTTTTTGGGTCTTCTCTCAAGCAGCCCCTCCCAAGAATCAATACCTCAGCAAGTCCAGGCAATTTGCTTACCCCGGTGTATCCTGAGCCTACTCACTTTCTCAACTCCACTCCTGCAACCCCAAACTAAGCCTTTGTCACCTGCCATCAGAAATATGACAATAGCTTTCAACTCTTCCTCACTTGCCCTCTCCAAACAAGTCATTCTGTAGTGATTTTTAAAATATAAATTAGTTCCTGTCATTCTTAAGCTTAAAACCATCTGATTGTTTTTACCATTTCACTTGATATATCATAACACTTGGTATTAAAGGCAACTTCTGTATCATGGCTTTGCATGACTAGGCCCCCTTGCCTTCTAGACTCATCTGATGCTACTCCACCCTTACCTGAATATCTTTACTAGTGTGATTTCAACTCCATGAATATCCCTAAACTCTTGCTTCCCTTGGGACCAGTAATCCTGCTATTCCCTCTATCAGAAATGATTTTCCCCACCCTTCACTCTGGCTAGCCCTTTCTATCTTTCCAGAGGCCTTTCCTGGTTACTCTGTATACTGTTCATCACTTTCTCTATCCCAACCAGTGGTTTACCTCATAGCATTTAGTGCTGTTTTTAATCATATATTATTTCTTATTTATTGTCCCTCTTTGCCACTGAATTAACCCCATGAAATTTTTCTTGTTCTTCACTGAATAGTCTCTTGCTTAGTACTGTGTCTGGCATAAGATAGTGGGGTTTTTTTTAAGGTTTTGAATTATATTTTGTAACTGTAGTAAAAACCTTCCAAGAATAATCTACCGTATTTCCAGCTGGACTTTAACCACCTATAGGAGAACAGGAAATCCATTATTCTTTTTCAGCATCTTGTAATATAGTGACTATTTACTCAAGTGTGAGGCCACTGTATTAAGGTTTCTCCCACATTCATTTGATTCCAGAATGAGTAGTCCTAATTTTCCATCCTAATTTTCTATTTCTAAGTTTTCATCCTAGTATGCTATTCCCAATTATAGGGTTAGAAAATGATAATGGGGAGGTTTCTCCTTCTCCTTGGATGAGTAATCTTCTTCCTTGTCTTTCTTTACATTCCATATAATGAGAATATACAGGGATATTCATTTCTCAACCTGCTACAAGTCTAAGAAACATCAAAGTTCTCACTGAGTCCAAAGAGCCTTGAAGAACGTCAGAATTGGAGCCAATGGTATTGATGAGAACAGCAACACTGATAATAACGGCTTTCTTGTATCAAGTACTTATAATATTATGCTAGGCCTGTATATCATTTACTCTTCATAAAAAGCATGCAATTATCCTCATTTTACAGATGACTGACATTGAATAGCTTTCCAGAGGTCACACTAGTGATTGGCTAACCTGCGATCCAAAGCATGTGTGCTCTTTGCTCCATCATACTGCCTTTTGTGCCATGAAGTCACACTGATTTAGTTACTTAATTTTTAAGGTTCCTTATTCCTGACCTTTTTATTTCCTCGCCCATCATCCTTCCATTTCCCCCATACTTCCATTTTTTAGTAATGATTCAAAAAATAGATAGAAAAGACTGTTTCCTGAAAAAAAAAAAAAAAAAAGGAACTAAATATCATTACTGACAGCAATTATTTTCTGGGTCTTTTGTAGTGTGATTAAATAGTTTCCTTGCCCTGCATTATTAGAATAATTATACCTATCTCAGTGGAGTAATTAACACAGGTATTTTTCTTATAAGAAATCTTCCAATTGAGATAGAGGATAAGGATAAATTTTTATGATAACTGATTGCCACACCTAAAAATTATTTAACATCATTTAAGATAAACATAAAATGGGAACATGGAAATAAAGTAACAAGGCCTCTGTAATAAAATGGGAAGATACTTTATCAAGGAAGTCTAGTCTCTATGTAAGTAAATACAATATTTTAATTCTGAGCTTCCAAGAAGTGAAGATTAAAAAGGAAAACATGAAGAATTACTTGGCTTTTATTATCTTGATAAAATTGATAGCTTGTACATAGAAACTGAGTAATATCTTAAGGATTTTTAATATAAGGTACATTGAATCAAAAGGTTAGTATCTCCCATAGTGGCTTTATAAAAGATGCAGAATATTTTCTTATGTTCTTATATTTCTTATATTGACCCCCAATATAAATTAAAGATATAATCATTAAATTATGGTTTTGTCCAGGCATCTTGGGAAGAGAGTTTACTGCAGTATAGTCTAGGAATGCAGCTTGCTTGTGGACTAACAATATAAAAATTAAGGGACATGATTAATAATCAGTTAAATTCTTTCTTCACAGGACTTTGTGGAGGAGCTATGTTCCTTTCAGTCCTGATTAGAAACCTATTGCTATTTCTACCCATTAGGGTATCATGTTGATTCTATTTTTGCATGAATCAATGGAGGAGTTTCTTATATTTGGTTTAAGTCATCTTGGTTGTCCATTGGAAGCTGGAAAACTCCAACAAATTACTGATTAATAAAAAAATATTTTTGTTATTGATGCTATTATAAAAATAGAAGCACCCTGTTCTTTCTGGATAATCTTTATTAAATAATATTAAATGACAATTTAAACAAACTTAAGCAATTTTTGTCAATATGTTCTCCTCCAATATTTTTAACTTAAAAAAAGGCTCTATAAATTCTGATGATAGTGCATATTCCCTCCTATAATTTTTAGTTTGTGGAAAAAAAAACCTATCAAGGAAACATTTCCATGACATTCAGCTTCCAGACTGAGAATTTTGGAACACAACTAGACACAAAACAAGACTACTGTGCTGTCATGCATGTGGTGGCATGCTAAAAGGTGGTGTTGCTGCCCGTGCAAAGGACAGTCTCTGTTTTTAATAAGATGATGTTTAGGGAAAGACCTCTTCACATAGAATCTAAAATCACACTGACTTTGTGGTTGTGATGCAAATATACTATTTGCGTCTGTCACATTGTAGATGCTTAATAAGCGGTGACAATAGTTATCATTGTTGCCACAAAGGGAGACTGTGACATGATACAAGGTAAACACATCAAAGGTAATTTTTTCTTTGTTCTTAAGAAATAGCTGAAAACTTTGAGTAACTGATTTTTACATATACACTTATTTTTCTTTTTCAGAATGTACAGAAAATCCTATCACATGGTTGGGTTGACATATCCAGAAGCTGTCATAGTAACATTAAAGGTAAAAAACATGTTCAATTACTTTAGTTTTTCAACTAGTCATTTTTTCTAATCTCCTTAAAAGGACTAGGAGAAAATGAGAATAGGTCTTTGCTGCAGCTTACATGTTGGAATGTAAAAAATATTTTAACCATTTACAAAATGTCATGTGTTTCAAGTCATGACTCATTGTAGATTTAAATGAGGATCAATTTACCCTAACAAACTATATCAATACATACATATACACACACGTGTGTGTGATGTTTTCTTCTTCTTCATGCTTTATTTAGGTAGATCTTGAATTCAATTTTGAGATGGCACCAGCAGTTGTCAGAATACACATATTTTGTTACTATATATTATGAAAGAGTTGAATGCTTTATAAATAAAAAGATATTTCAGTCAAATATGGTTAAAGGCAAAGCTTATATGGAGTAAAATTGTTTAGAATTTTAGGTCCGAGAAAATATAAAAAGTGAGATAAAATTAAGAAAGGAAACAAAAAAGAAATTCATATCTTTTGTCTCTGGCTTTCCCTGTGGCTGCCCTAGTCTGAGGCCCAACTGCAGTATTATATGTGTTAGAAATAACTAGAGTTGAAAATCTGAAGTTGTGAAAGTTTTTGACTTGCTTGTTCCCATTGCATGTGTGTGTGTGTGTGCACGCGCACACTATTCCTAGACTTTATTACTAAAGAGGCATTTTGTAGGCTCACCGTTCTACATTCCTTATTTCATTCCATCACTTAATTTGGGTAGGAAATTCAACTTTGTCTCCTCTAACAGTTTTATGGTGGTTTTCCTGTATTAACCACAAATTTAAAGAATACCAGCAACAGAATATACTGGGTTATTTTATTTTTGATTTATTAAACTCCTTTCCTAGTTTAAATCTATATTGCTTTCTTTTGTTCTTTAATTTCCTTTAAAGCATCCCCTTTGCATTTGTTTTTTCTCTGCTGCATATTAGATTTTAATCTTATTCATTTAAAAAGGTAGTTTGTTTTTCTTAGAAGCTTTTTTATATTCATGTTTCTAAAGTGATAATAGAGGCAAGAATATAACTGAAATGTCACATTATCAGATATTAATTACTCCTTGGCTCTTGAGAGATTTTGATTTCCTCATTATTTCCTGAACTGTGGGCATGAAAATTACTTATTTTTATTTATTTTTCTTAGAAACCAGCTAACAGAGTATTCTGGTATGAGAGAATGTAAACATTTTTCTAAAATGTAGTGTAGGGAAATCATGAACTAACAGGTTGAAGAGAATTATCACTAAATTAAGAATGTTTTAGTAATTCTAATTTCCTGAGATACCTCCTTGTCTTGTTTGTTCTCAATCTGACAAAGTAAAAGCCAAGCATCTGCAGTAGTTTACAGATGTAAATCACCATTGTTGATTTAAAAAATCCCCCAAAATGGAGAGCTAAGCTTTTACTCAGTGGGAAACCCCTGCTGGGAACTGTAAATAGCAGCCTGTAACATTCTGAACTAATTCTGTGTTAGCTTTGGAATTTGGTTAGATTTGTTGGTCTCCTTTGAGCTTTATTGATGGTAAATGCCTTCTAACAGAACTTTGATTTTTAAATTTACAAACTGATCAAGCAAGTATTTCGGGATCAAATTAGGGCCAAACGCAAGGAATTTAACAAAGGTACCCAAGGAAACCAAAAAATATTTCACTGGTGTTTTGAAATGATTAAAAACACGTTTGATGTTATTGTTGCTATTTGTGGAAAGAAATAGTTTTAAGAGATGGTTTGGATACTTTTTATCAGATTTTCAGTTTGGTTTCAGCATGTTACAGCATGTATTGTTGGCCTCTGTGAAATGTGTTAAATGAATGAAGTTCTAAACAGGGCCTGCTCAAATTCAAAATTAATGTATAGCTTTAAGGTTGTCCATTTACTGTTCAATACTAAACCTGTTGTGTGTATGCAAACACTAGACCTTCTTTACTAATAATTTATGATAATCATTAGAACTGATTCTGCTGTATTTCTGTAGATTTTTAAGTTTCAGTGATTTATTTACTGTTGCAACTCAAGCTTTACCTTAATGTACTGATGTACTTAATATCTCCTTAATGTACTGATACCACTTGCTACAAGTCCATTTTGTGGACCCCTCTGCAAGTTTTTGTCCTGGAATCACCTGAATCAAAGTCGTGAGGCGGCTGGAGTAGTTGGATATACCTGCTCATTGCCCTCTTTTCCCACAGTTAGGGGGGACTTTCCTAGGGTATCTGTTTCCCTACAGGCCTGGCCACTTCCCCGGGGAATTGCCTGAAATGCCAAAATTCCTAACCTCCCCCTCAATCAAGAGACCCACTTCCTTTATCTTACAGTCTGGCCCTGGTAGAAAGTAAAAGTGAATCAGCCAAGGTTAGAGTGAGTAATAAGGTAGTAGTACTCTACCGAGAGAGAGAGCGCTGTCTCTCTAGGGCATCTTCATCTTAAAAAAAAAAGACATAAAATATCAAATCTTTAACCAATTAGTAACTTTTAAACGGTAGAATTTCAAGCAACGTAGCAGGTGGGTGGGTGGGTGGGAAAGATAAATTGGGGCTATCTTCCTTCTCTCTCTCAATTACATCACCCATATAACCTGCAATTCCACCTTGAAATGAGGCCCACTCTGGGAAAATGATTTATGGCATGCATTTGGAGAGAGACTAAGAATATGGGCAGTGTTATAGAGTTATCAGGTTTACTGCATCATATTGGATAACCTTGGGATTAAGGGGAAGATCTTAAGCATTATTGACCTCACTTTTGTGGATCCACAGATACTAAGTGTCCCTGTCACATCAGACACTGGTAAAAATGAAGTTTGATGTGCTGAATTGAAATCTGACCTGCTGGATGTACAATGCCTGAGCTTTCCAAGAATTTTTTCATAGAAAGAAACAGAATCATATGATATTGCCAACTAAAATATTTACTTTTTTTCCTACAGGATGTTGATAAATGGTCTTTTGATGTATTTGCCTTGAATGAAGCAAGTGGAGAACATAGTCTGAAGTTTATGATTTATGAACTATTTACCAGATATGATCTTATCAACCGTTTCAAGGTCAGAAACATGGAACAAAAGTAAAATGCTCTTAGAATGAGTTATCTGAATAAGAATGAAAATGCAGAACAATGGGTCATTAATCAATTCATTTAAAAATGTTTCTGGATTGTCAGATCACAGAACTAAGGGGATGAGCTCACCACTTGAAATAGCCATTCTCTACAAATCACTGACATTTCTGTATATCCACTGGGGTATCATAAGGCCATGATAGACTCATTCCAACAAGATACAAACATCCCCCTGAATTATTCACAGAACACTCATGTAAAGATTGGAATCTATGTCTTAAAGAAATATGATTTTCTTAAAATGCAGAATGAACCATTATTGGCAGCTTTTTTAAAATTGAAATGAAAGGGTTTCTAATTAACTTCACTTAGAGCCATCTCAGCAACAGATTTGATTCAGATTTCTGAGCCCGTATCTATGGAATCGTGTTATTTTTAGAGTTAGAATTTACTGGGAGGTCATTTATTTTAACCCCCTTGAATTACCAATAGAAAAACTAGACTTCACCAGTTGTAATTGGAAAATTTTACCCCTTTAAGAACCAGCCTTCTTATCTGACTCTGGAAGATACAAAATTTAAAGATTGCTATATGGGTAAGACTGTTATTTCATCTATCTTAATTAAACACTTGGGGGTTATAATCCTTCTCAGCATTGAAAACTGACAGGTTAATGAAGTGTTTTTTCAGAACAATCCACATTTAACTTTAAGAAACTACTGCCCATATCTGACTCACTAATGTATCGCATCCCAAACATCTTTGTGCTCATGTTGATTTAGTGCCACTCTTTTGGTCAAAATATAATCATAATTGTTACTTTCTGCAGATTCCTGTTTGTTGCCTAATTGCCTTTGCAGAAGCTTTAGAAGTTGGTTACAGCAAGTACAAGAATCCGTATCACAATTTGATTCATGCAGCTGATGTCACTCAAACTGTGCATTACATAATGCTTCATACAGGCATCATGGTAAGAAAGCCTTTGTAACTGAAGTTTGTTAGTTTGCAACATCAAATTCCATTCCCTTCTCACTGTCTCTTTAATACTCAAAAAAGTATTACAAGTAATAATCTTCTGGATTTTTGAGGGTTAATGGGTTATTTACAATATTCATTTTTCAAAAAATATTTTAACTCAGTGAATAAAGATCTCCAGAAGCAAATGAAAATAGACCGCAAATTTTTCAAAATTTGGACTATGTAACATTTTCCATTTGTAAATTCCTTTTCCCGTAGGTATCAACCCCCAGAAAAGTGACCTAGAGAAAAATTCTTTGGAATAAAAGTTAGTTGTAGTGCTCTCCCCTCCTTTCATCACCCAAGCTGAGCTCAGTAGCTTTTTCTCTTTTACATGCTTGCATTGCTAATTACAATCAAATCCTAATAGGGATTTTTGGAAATTATTCGTTTGGATTTTTCCGAATTCTTCTTCCTTCTCTTTGTATTTGAACGAATCAGTTGATGAGTGAATAAATGGTTCAGCAGTGCAAATCCTGGGACAAAAATGAGTAGATGTTGGGAAGTCTGGGACTGCCTAGAATTTCTATAGTGTCTTAGAGCATAGGATTACTTCCAAGGGATAAAAAGGGACGGGAAGTCCTTCCTTCTGAAGGTTCCAAACTGGGATGGGTTCAAAAGGGTATGAGCCATGTGAGATCCCCAGAATCTGAGTACATTTTTGATTTCTCATGTATCAACCTAGGCTGAAGCAGTACCATAAAATGCATATAAGTAGAATGGTCCACCAAACCTCATAATTTACATTGCCTACCTGTTTAGATTTCAAAAGTCACATTCTTTTTATTGGTAAGTCTCATTGGCATTCAGATCTGTGTAACTAGTACTCCTCCATATCTCATCATTCTGCCCCAGAGACTGTGTTCCTTACCTGGTCCCACACAAAGCCCTTAGGGCCACAGTATAGAGTCCTGAAGATCTTGAAAACTTGTAGCAGGTACATGATTCTCCAAGTTTATTGTATACAGATGATAATTGTATACATTTTCCCCCAGAATCCAGTGTGTGGTTTCCTACACATAAGATCCCTTTGCTATGATTCATCCAAAGGTGTCTCACGTGATGAATGAAAAAATTATGTATTTTACTTCTCCATCTTTTTTGCCTCCCAAATGTTGCAGATCCATCAATGCCTTGGGCTCAGATTCCACTCCTGCCCCGTGTTCCAATTATCTGTTTTCTCCAAAACAAACTACTCTAAACTCAGTGACTTAAAACAATAATTTGTCATTGTTTCTCATGGGTGTCTGTAGTTAGAAGGGTCCCAACTAGAAGGTTCTCATTTGGGGTCTCTTGTGTGATTGTGACCAGCTAGCAACTATGGTCAAAGACATCTGAGGACATCACTGGGCAAGACATCCACAGTGGTTCACTCACATGGCTGGCAGTTGATAATGGCTAATAGCTGGGAGCTCAGCTGGGATTTTAATGAAGAATTTCCTTCAAATATCACTACCAATTCAATAGAAATATGCATTATATTGGCAGGATCACTAAGTAATTATAGCCTGCTTTGGAGTTAATGCCTACTATGGGGAGGTAAAAATCTCAAAAACCTTCACTGATGCATGACTCTCTTGTGGCCTTCTAGAAGGCTGAATTATATGTGATGTTAACCTTATACCTTTGTTTTCTTTTTTTAAGATGTAAATGTGGCTATCACCCAGTTAAGATATAAATGTGCCCATCGAGCCAAATCAAATGCAGTCATGGCTGAACTTGGTCCTTGGTTGAAATTTACTCACCATTCATTCCAGGAGTCTGATTTGACATTTAAAGGGAGGGAGTAGAACTTAGCAATAATAAGTAGAAACTCAAACTTTCAAAGATATAGCTTCGAAATATTGTAAGCTTTTTTAAAGTAGTGTATAATTTTCTATCTGTTTCTCTTTCTAGCATGTGTGCGTGTGCACACACACATACACACAAATTATTTTAAAGCTCTGTTGGTTTAATAAGTCTTCATTGTCAGAGCTGTTTCTTGAACTCTGTGTTTTCATTTGGTTTGATATACATGGCAATTAGTGTGAAGAGCAAAGTGCCTCCTGACAGCTGCAAATGCTGTTAACGCTTGAAAAAGTTGCTTTAACATCTTCCTGGTTAGATTTGCTTTTCCTTTCTAAGGCCTTGGAATTAAATCTGATTGTGAGGTGGTTTTCATTTCAAGTGTTTGGCATTTCCTCTTCCCTGAATTCTGTGGCTTTGAAAAGTTAACTGAAAAATGAAATATTTAAGTGTTAGTCTGAAACAGAAACTGTACTAATTAAGTTTCCTCAGAACAAAATGGAGTGGAAAAGTAATGCCTACTTTGGTATAAAAAAACTCTGCTTTAATTATGAAGTACAACCAGAAGATATATGCCATTTCAGGCTGTTAGGAAACCAGGATTTTGTTTTGAAATACATTTTTGCTTAAGTACCACAAGTGTAAAGGGAACCAAATAAAAGACTCCTAGTTCAGCTTCAGAACCTCTGTTCTGAAGGTGACATTGAACAGATGAGGGATGCTATATTGGTGGGTAAATAGAGAAATGCAAATCTGCAATGTGCATTTACCCTCAGACTTGCAAGGAAGGCTTGTTCCAGGATGTAACAAGCCATTCCAACTTCTCTGGAAAACTGGGGAAATCTGGCCCAGCCTGGCATGACTCTTAGAAAGCTAAAGTTGTTAGTAAAGATCACATAGTCACTTTTTGAGATATATAACTTCACTCTACTTTAGCAGGTTTGGTTTAGAAACATTTCTAAATTTATTCATCCTTTACCAAAAGAAGTGTCGGTGGACTCTTCACTTATCTCTTAGTTTGGCCATTACAAAAATAGTCGGGTGGGAGACTGTCAGTGTTGTCCAGGATTGGGAAAGTATATTTAAACTAATGAGAAATTTTATGATTGATGATGAAAGGAAAGGCAAAATGAATTTTCAGTTTATTGACTATTTTATCAAAACTATGTTCATTGCCAGCTTGAGGGTTTTTTGCAAGTTATTTTAATAAGCTTTTCTTTAGATTAAAAAAATGGTAATAGGAGAGTATTAGTTTTCATACATATGAATGTGTTGGTTCTTTGAAACAAAAAACAAAGCATTACAGAAATATTCATTTAACTGAAACCCCTAGGCTTTGATATGGAGAAGACAGGGTCACTTACTTCAGTGTTTTAGTCATCTCCTGCTGTTTCAAGATGGTCTTATCAACATGACATTTATGGAGCACTCCAGTAGCAGCCCAGCACTGTCAGATAACTAGTGCAGCCTGTCACCTGCAAAATGTTCGCAGGACCATTGCCTGAAAGGGATTGGGATGAAACCATTGTCCTTCAGTTTGTTAATGTCATATTGGGACACTCTCAGGCCTGGGAGTAGGCAGTGCAGAGAGGATGCCAGGACGCCCTCTGTCTCCCTCTCTCTCCTTTTGTCACTTAATTAATTTGTAGCCACATGTAGTGCCACGGTGATAGGGGTGTGTGGTAGCTCGATCCATTTGCTAAAGAGCAAATGCTTCACCGAATGCTGCCAAGCCACTTCCAAATGTCTTTTTGAATATGAAATCATCTGAGGGCCTTGGCAAGGGAACACTTGTATTTGAGGGCTCCTGGCACTGTGTTCCCTCTAACACTGAGAGTGGAAGAAAAAGAGATAACTTGAAAACTATTCCTTTGGAACTTGTAGTCCACTGACTACACCCAGAAATAGCCCCTCACACTCTGAAATTACTTAATTTTTCTCCAATCTACAGAAATTCGCCACTATGTCTCTGTTCTGCAAACTACATGGAAATTCTGTTCTTGTAAATGGCTTCCAATACAACAGTGTTTGGAAGAGTGGGAAGAGTGTGGGCTTTCAAGGCAAGCAAACACAGATTTAAAACCCTACTTCCCCACTTCCTAGCTCACTTGCTCTCCATATCTGTTCCCTTGTCACTAAAATGTGGTTAATAATACCAACTACCTTGAAGTACAACAGTGAGGAGTAATGATATCATATGTGTAATCCTAACCTAGTTCCTGAAACATAATAACTATTAGTAAAAATTATTAGTAATTTATATATTATATATTAACTTATGTGTATTATATGTTAATATTATTATACTCACTTTCCATATTGAGTAAGTTATAGCAAAGTACTTCAGTCTATTCAAAGGGATAGAGAAAAAAAGGTCCAACCCTACCTATCATGTAAGCTAAAGGGGTTGTTAATTACGCCCTTTTAGACACACCGGCATCTAATATGTCAATGTGATTTTCTGACCTAAAATTCTCCCAGGCCTATACATATACACATATACATTCTCTATCATACACACACACACACACACACACACACACACACACAAAAACACACACATTAAATAATTCAGATATGAAAATTACATCCTAAGTCTTAAAGCTTTGTTAGCTTCTCTACCTATCAGTATATTTAGTTAAATTATCTAGAAATTCTGCTTTTGAAATCTTAGAAGAATGTATTCAGCATATTACCAGCCTGGAATAATGAAGGCTATTGTCATCCATAGAAGGAAGGAATATTGTGATCTGTGGAAAGAACAGAAATTTTGGAATCAGATTTTAGTTTGAATTCCTGCTCTGCCACTTGAGAGCTATGTGACCTTTGGCAGGTTGATTCAATTCTTTAGGATTCAGCTGTGTTATTTGCCAAATAAGATTTAAAACATTTACCTAGTAAATGGTAAATAGGGTGATTATAAAAGTTAAATGAAACCATCTACCTAAAAAGTCCAGTTAAGGTTAGTTCTTTCTCCTTTCTTTCCATCAACATTGTACATGCTATTAATGGAAGTCAATGCCTCTCTCTGGTATAATTTGAGGACTGCGCTTTTTACAGCAAGTCTACCTGAGCAATTCTCTAGGCAAAATGCAGTTTAGATGAAGCACAGTGTCTACACTGCTCATGACTCTTCATTTTAACCCTTTATTTCTGCCCATTAAGAATCAGAAGAACTTAGGTTATGTACTGACCACTGTTCTAGTTGGGAAGAATGATATGATTCAGACTTATTCTCTCTGACTTGTCATCATGAGTAATTTACAAAATTCATGAATTTAAGCAACCATTTTCTGAGTTAGAATTCTCATTCAACACCAGTGTAAAATGAATTGTCAACTAAGGACATAAAAATCAGCCCCCAATTCTACTTTCACTAATATGAAATAGATGTATTTTTCAATTAAGTGTGAATGTTCAATGTTTCTCTCTTCCCAAACTAGTTTATAATGTAAACTTAATTGTTAAGACTATACTGTGGCAATAAGTAAGATGAATTGATGAAGGAAGTACTATTTATAGGAGGCAGAGATTAATGAGACTAAAAACAGGAAACATGTATAATCAATTTTGAAAGTTAGAAAGATAATAATTTTAAATACTTATGAGATAATCTATAATTAAAATTCAGCTCTTATTTCCTAATTTAATTATTTTTACAATTGCGCTTCATATTCTATATTATCATAGTAGATATAGAATATTGCTTTTTAAAAATCACAGGTAAGTCTGTAAATCTTAAATATAACTAATAGGAAATACTTAAGAAAATAGGTGATTTTTTTTCTAATAACAATTTTCTTTATTAAAACAATGGATTTCTGGGGTTACAAAATCTGGTTTAACTTCAGTTGCTATTCAGTTCATGGTGTTTAATTCCACAGTCTCAGTGGGGACATTGGAGGCTCAGTCCCAGCTCAGCCTCTAATACAGACCTTTAATGAGGTAATTTCCTTCCTTTTAATGACTCACAATTAAATGCACCTATAAACACAGTGCAGCTAGTTATATGAACTCTCCTTAGTTCTAAAAATTATTTCTGCTTCAGTCATCCAACTGTGAGGCATTTATTCTTGAATTGCAATCACTAAAGATATGTTAGCTCATTATTATTTTCCAGATTCAATACCTTAAACAATGTATTTAAAGTAATAAGTTCAGTAAAATGCCATTTATTCTGTATTTTACTGTATATTAAGACTTGTAATAGGCACAGCACATACATCAACTTTAAATTTCTTTTAAAGTCCACAGGGGAATGATCACTAATTTTATTTTCATGGAAACTGTGCCTGAGAGGGTAAATAGCTTATTTGCCTGAGGATTAACAAGACTTAAAATCAGGATGCTCTGATTCCACAGTCTCTTTCCACTATTCCCAATTAACTCCTCCAAATGCAAAACTAGTGAAATTCAATTCAACAGACAAATGCCAAGTTCCTACTATGTGCCAAATACCATGATGGGTTATATGAAAGGAGCAAAGATGAATAAGACTGTGCCTTTAGCAATCATGAGACTCAACAGTGTCACCTCCACTGTTAGACCCATGGACCTACAGTGGCTTCCTGTTGCCTTTTATTCAAAATCTTAATTCATCAGCTCTAATCAAGGTAGCTTATCAATTCTTTCCCATACTCCACCTTCAATCTCACTTCACTTGACTCTCCAACACAATTGTACTATTAGCAATTCAATTACCGTACAGGCCTCTGTAGTATCATTCCATATTTACTCTTTCTATTTAGAATCTCTCTGTTTCCAACCTTGCATTTAGCTACCAATCTTTGTCCATCCTTCTTCCAAGATCCACTGCCACCAAATAGGTGTCCTATCTGCCCTTCTATTCTGTGAGTTTTCATCAAGTATGCATCTACTTTATATTCTTCTGCTGCTTTGTGCAAGGTCTTTGTTTCAAGTATATGGCATAAAACCACTAAGAGCAAGTTCCACATCACTTTGGATCCTCTATTCTTACCATCAAGTACCACCTACTTACAGCGCTCTCCAATAGAACTTCCTGTGGTGATGCAAATATTTTGTATCTGTACTGTTCTATAAGATAACCACTTACCACTATTGAGCAGTTGAAATGTGGCTACTGCAACTGAAAAAGTGAACTTAATTTTATTTATTTTTAAATAGTCATATGTGATTATCATATTGAACAATGCAGTTAAAGTGTTATGCAAAATGTGAATAATGAATAAACTATCAAATTACCTAAATGGACTTATAACAGTAGAGAAATTTTATTAAAACCATCCAATTGATAACAACAACAAAAAAATCAATGTATATGAAGCAGTGCTCTGGATTTTACGTGAAAGCATTTATTCTTTCATTGCTATTCAGTTTAATTGTATAGTCAAAGAATATATGTATCATGAAGAACAAACTTGATAAATTCTTGGAATCTCTTCTAAATCTCTAAATATAAAAACTAAGTTCAGTTTCTCTAATGACCAAAGTGAATATTTTCAACTCACAGGTGGAAAATTTTCTAATAGTAGGGTCTTCTACAAAAGTTGTGCTAAAAGACATTTTAGTGTTGTATGGGTTATATGTTAAAAATCACTAAACTGAAATGATTTCATGAGATCCCAAATTGGTAAGGCTGTAAATTCAAAATCCATTTAGAGTTCACCTTTTAAATCATAGAAAATTACTTCTTTTCCAATTAACAAAGAAAATTATAATGTCTGAATTTTTAACTTAACAAGCCATGAAACAATCATCAGCCTCATGAAGAATCCGTTAAGTGCAATTAATGGAGGTAAAATAGGGGGAAATTATTTAAAATTCATAGAACAGTTTTATATATTGATTTATACTGTGTGCAATGAAAATATTTATTTTTTAGAAAGACAACATTGACTCTGCTTTTTGATATGATGGAATCTTTGTTTAATTTAATAGCACTGGCTCACTGAACTGGAAATTTTAGCAATGGTCTTTGCTGCTGCCATTCATGATTATGAGCATACGGGAACTACAAACAATTTTCATATTCAGACAAGGTAAGTTAGATAAAGGATTAACTTTTCTAAGTTAAAACTTGAAATTTATTTTTCTGAATATTACTTATTTTTAAGAGGATTTCAGAATAGTAATGAAGATGTCTAATAAGAATGGATTTTAGCAAAATGCCTTAAGCTTGAAACACCTCAGTCAGCAATTCTTATTTATCAAGAATCTTGTATTTTGGTGACATATTTAGCAATTTAAAGAACATAAAAATGTATAAGATAATTTTTCTTTGCCCAGAACTTGCACTAAACTATCACACAAGTCAGACATTTATTCACTGGGACAAACCTTACCATATTATTGTTCACGGCATCAGTCTGGTGTCATTATATATTTGAAAGTAATGAAGTTCCGCTTCTGAAAAAAAATCTAAAGATCAAATAAATCTTATTTCCAGGTTAGCATGCAATATTAAATTTAAATTAATTAGAAAATTGGATTTTTAATTATGGTGATAATGGCAATTATTAGAATCAAAATACCAGAGTAGAGGTGCATTAGTCTGTTACGAATGTTACATAATACTACAGATTGGGTGGTTTAAATAACAGACATTTTCTCACAGTTCTGAAGACTGGACATGCAAGATCAAAGTGTTAGCAAGTTTGGTTTCTTCTGAGGTCTCTCCCCTTGGCTTGCAGATGGCTGACTTCTTGCTGTGTCCTCACATGACCTTTTTTCTGTGCTTGAACATACGTCAGGGTCTCTTCCTCTTCTTATAAGACATCAGTCATATTGGATTAGGGCCCACCCTTTGACCTCTTTTAACATTAATTATCTCTTTAAAGGCCTTATCTCCAAATACGTCACATTCTAAGGTACTGGGGTTAGGACCATAAACATATAAATTTGGGGGAACACGATTCAGTCCATAATAGAAAGGGGCTCTAACCTCTTTTTGGCTGAAAAGAGATTTCAGTACCTGGGAAACAGAATTTGGTTTAAGACCCATCAGGATCCAATTCACTTGTTTACATAGGATCCTGAATTTCTATGTCTTTCACTAGTCAGAGATGCTTAAGATGGAGATGTAAGTCGAGAGACTGGTTTCTTTCTGGAACTACTGTAGCGCTCTCTATTCTTGTTGAGGGAAGACTAAACCCAGTTATTTTTTGTTTGTTCATTTTTTTAAATTAATAGACTTTATTCCTTAGAGTAGATTTAGGTTTACATAAAAATTGAACAGAAAGTACAGAGTTTCCACATACTCCTTCCCCAACCCCACATTTTCCCCTAGCGTTAACATCTTACATCAGGTGTGGTACATTTGTTACAATCGATGAACCAATATTGATACATTATTATTAGCTAAAATCTATAGCCTGCATTTTGGTTTACTGTTTGTGTTATACATTTTATGGGCTTTACAAATGTATAATGCCATGTATCCACCATTATAGTATCATCCACAATAGTTTCACTGCCCTAAAAAGTCCCCTGAGCTTCATCTTTTCATTCCTCCCTCCCTCCTTCCCCCTTTACCCATGGCAATCACTGATCTTAAGATCTCTAGTTTTGCCTTTTCCAAAATGTCATGTATTCGAAATCATGCAGTATGAAGCCTTTTCAAACTGGCTTCTTCCACTTAACAATATGCATTTAAGGTTCCTCTATGTCTTTTCATGACTTGATAGCTCATTTCTTTTTACTGCTGAATAATATTCCATTGCATGGATGTACCAGAGTTCACGTATTCTACTATTGAAGGATGCCTTGGTTTCCTCCAAATTTTGGCATTTATGAAAAAGCTGCCATAAATGTTCATGTGCAGGTTTTTGTGTGGTCTGTTCATTTGTATTTTAAGAGCAATAGTTCTAAAAATTGATTTTCCAGCTATAGGAATTTGTTGTTTTGATGTGGGGAGCATGGAACATTTTATTAAAATACTGAACATTTTAGGGCTTCCCTGGTGGCGCAGTGGTTGAGAGTCCGCCTGCTGATGCAGGGGATGCAGGTTCGTGCCCCGGTCCGGGAGGATCCCACATGCCGCGGAGCAGCTGGGACCGTGAGCCATGGCCGCTGAGCCTGTGCGTCCGGAGCCTGTGCTCCGCAACGGGAGAGGCCACATTAGTGAGAGGCCTACGTACCGCAAAAAAAAAAAAAAAAAAAAAAAAATACAGAACATTTTAGAGCTTCAAGGGATCCTACAGTGACTGAGGTCCACATTATAGATCATATGGTCTAAGCCTCACAGTCTAAGAAAAGAAAACAAAGATCTTAATAGGTGAAATTACCTAACTATATGCACACAGTCAGCTGATGGCAATAGCAGGGTTGAGAAGCTGAGATGAGGGACACTTACTCTCAACCCAGTCTATTTACATAACTCTGCTCCCATGGGCAGAGACAGACATATAACAGTCAATTTTTACAGCCTTAAATGGATGGACTTGAAAATTATGGCTCCTTGACAGAGACAGAGGGAGAGTTGAAATTCAAACAACGAAATGTTGGGGAAAGCATTCTGTCTATCCCTAGAGTCTCCCAGATTGACAGAGCATAAAGTGAAAAGGAAGACCTTGAAGTCTGGTTGTACAGCAGGGGTGTTATTAACCTACACTTTTGTAGAGTATAGAGATATCCTGTTTTCATTTGTGTTAAACATCAAAGGAAAGGTAAACTATGCAGATCATTTTTGCTTAGCAAAGGCTCTTCTATATCCACCAAATTCATAATAAGTGGGATTTTAATTAAAGTCAGCTCATTACTGAGCCAGGCCCAGTGTAGGACCACAGTTTTAGGAATTGGAAAAGGGAGCAAGTGATTTGCTTCCAATAAATATTTCTTGCTCTTTCTATTTTGAAAAGTAAAGGCAATGGACTGACCTCCAGCAGCAATATTAAATTATCACTTCTAGATTTCTCCTTTTGCCATGGATTTACAACTGGATGAAGAGTCCTAATCTACTTATACTTTAGACTGCAGAGAAGGAAAAGGAGATGGAGAAAAGGAGGAGGAGAAAGAGCAGAGAGAGGAGGAGGATGAAGAACACACTTTTTACCATTTTATATTAAGAAGCTCTGTATAAACGCTGGGGAAGGTCTATTATTTTACTTATTTTCTTATATATTGTCTATCAGGATCAATTATTTAATAGATTAATTCTACAAGAACTTGAACATTTTATGAACAAAAAAGTTGTAATGATCACAAATGCAACAATATGATGTGCTTTTTGAAATTATTGGCTTCACATTTTGTCCAAGTATATATTGGTTTTATGTTACTGATATCAATAATTCTATCGTATTTTATATTATTCATTGTTACTTGGATTTAGAGTTGCTTTTCTAATATGGAAACCTACTTACTGGATAATGAAAAATGACTGAAAAATAATTTAAAACATAGTGCAAGGCTAGATTTGAGTTCAATGCAAACATTATAATTCATACAATTCTTGAAAGTGTAAATAAATAGAAATAATTTCCTCTTTGTGAAAAGAAAATGCCAAGCTACATGTAACCATGGACACTGGGTATTGCTTAGAATCTTGTTCTTTCCATAGCAGTCAAAGATTATCTCAAGCATTAAGACCATTCTGTATTCTCAGCGTCCTTTTGGATTTATGAGACAAAATCACACATAATTTGCTACAATTAAATCTGGTTAAAAAACACATCTTTGCTTGTTGCTGAGAGAAAGAAATAGTGATACTTAGATCCACATCATGCAATAACCCTGGCAAAACTGCCATGGCTAGATTTGAGACTGTATGATACAAAATATGTGATTTGCAAATCACAGTTTTCCCCATGATCTCAGCAAATTTCTGGAGATACTTGGACAAGATCTATTTAATTTTCTCTCAAACAAGGATTGCATGTATGCTCTCCTAGTTCAGTTTTCTGTGTATCGAGCTATGATTATTGCTAATAAAATTTTTAGGCCAAGGCTGGGATGATTAAAAGAAAGTCTATTTTGGGGTTATATGCTATTAGCTAACTACATATGTTATTCTACTTTTATGATTGTGCTAGGAACAAAAGAGGAAGTAATTATTCCACTGCCTAATAGGTCATTTCCCCTATATTGGATTAATAATCAAGCTTGGTTTATCCACCAGACTATTGATACAGATCTCAAATAGGTTGCTTGCTACAGAAGCCAGATTTCTTAGTTCTTTCTTTGTCATTGTCTACTCTTTGGTAAACTTTCAGTGCTAAGGTCAGTGCTAGATCACTACCCACTGAAAAGCCTGAAATAGTCTTAGTGAGACATTTTTAGTGCTGACAGAATATGTGTCTACAGGAGAAAGGAAAGGTGAGAGGAGTGTGTTGTGTGTTGGTGTAAGTGGTAGCAAAATTGTTACACGTTTCACCTTGACTTTCCTTTGGTGCTGTTTTTACTGCCTACCTACAAGTTGCCAACTTATTTGCATGGGACACTGCAATGAACATAGTAGCTCTGCTTCCATTCCACACTTGCAAAATGATCTGGCAATTTAAGGGGATAGAGGAAGAAGAAGCAAGGGCTCAATTATACAGATTTGAGAACACTTGGAATATTTCACACTTTATGCTAGAATACCAATTTCAATAGTGCAACTTAAGTACTTTATTTGATGATCAAACGATATAAAAATACAAACAGGTGAGAAATAAAAGCCTTCCCTTAATGAATTCATCATTTTAAAATATAATGCCCATTATAAATTGGTGGTGAAACATACATTTTAAGTTTTGCTTTACAAAATCGTTTCCCCAGTTTAACGGTAGAGGACCTATAATACTCAAATCGAATTACAGCATTATAAGAGAAAAAAATAGAATCATAAATAGACCAAATGATTTTTAACATCCCCTCTGCCTTCTACCCAAAGTAAATTTAGTCCAAGGGAGTAAGGGTGGTAATCAACTATATAGAATAGGTACAAAAGGATTGGTTCATTCAGTGATTAAATGAGGATGTTAGGTGATTTTTTTCTCTCTCTCTTTGTCATATCTAGATCTTGCAGGCATCTGGATTGCAAATTGAAAGGAAGAGGCATAAATACATTTAAATTATGATAATACAAGGAGACTAGGCACATGACCAAGTGGGATTTATGCCTAGGTTTGACATTAAAAATTCAATTGAGGTAACCCATCATATCAATAGGCTAAAGAAAAAAACACACAATCATATCAAGGCTAAAGAAAAAAACACACAATCATATCAAGATGCAGAAAAAGCACTTACCATAATCCAATAGCTATTCATGATAAAAATATTCAGTAAATTAGGAATAGAGGGAAACTTCCTCAACCTGACAAAGAATATCACAAAAAACCTACAGTTAACATCATACTTAACAGTGAGAAACTCAAAGCTTTCCCACTAAGATCAGGAATAATGCAAAGATGTCCCCCCCTCTCTACTGCTTTTCAATATCATATTATACAGGTTGGGAAGGAAGACAAAACTGTCTTTGTTCATAGATGACATAATGGTCTATGTAGAAAATCCAAAAACTCAACCAAAATACTTCTAGAACTAATAAGCAATTATAACAAATAACAGATTTTCATGATGCAAGTTTAATACACAAAACTCAGTCACCCTCATATATACTGGCAATGAGCAAGTGGAATTTGAAGTCAAAATTTAATTAAAAAAATTTAAAACTAAAATTCAAAACTGTAAAATGTCATTTACATTAGCATCCAAAAATTGAAATACTTGGGTATAAATCTAACAAAATGTACAAGATGTATATAAGGCAAACTACAAAACTCTGATGAAAGAATTCAAAGAAGAACTACATAAATGAAGAGATATTCCATGTTCATGGATAGGAAAACTCAATATTGTCAAGAAGTCAGTTCTTCTCAACTTGATCTATAGACTTAATGCAATCCCAATAAAAATACCAGCAAGTTATTTTGTGTATATCAGCAAGCAGATTTAATGTTTATATGGAGAGGCAAAAAGACCCAGAACAGCCAACTCAACATTGAAGGAGAGAACAAAGCTGGAGAATTGACACAATCCAACTTCTAGACTTACTATAAGTCTACAGTAAACAAGACAGTATGGTAATGGCAAAAGAACAGACAAATAGGTCAATGGGGCAGAACAGAGAGCTCAGGAATGCACTTACATAAATACATTCAACTGATCTTTAACAAATGAGCGAATGCCATACAATGGAGCAAAGATAGTCTCTTCAACAAATGGTGCTGGAACAACTAGACATCCACATGCAAAAAAATGAATCTGGACACAAACCTTACATTCTTCATAAAAATTAACTCAAAATGTATGATAGGGCTTCCCTGGTGGCGCAGTGGTTGAGAATCCACCTGCCGGTGCAGGGGACACGGGTTTGTGCCCCGGTCTGGGAAGATCCCACATGCCGCGGAGCGGCTGGGCCCGTGAGCCATGGCCGCTGAGCCTGCGCGTCCGGAGCCTGTGCTCCGCAGTGGGAGAGGCCGCAACAGTGAGAGGCCCGCGTACTGCAAAAAAAAAAAAAAAAAAGTATGATAGACCTAAATGTAAAATGCAAAACTCTAAAACTTCTAGAAGGTAACATAGGAGAAAATCTAGATGATCTTAGGTGTGGCAATGACTTTTTCAATACAACACCAAGGCACAATTCTTGAAAGAAATAACTGATAAACTGGACCTCATTAAAATTAAAAAATTATGCTTTATGAAAGGCAATATCAAGAGAATTACAAGATAACCAAAGAGTAGGAGAAAATATTTGCAAAAGATACATCTGATAAAGGACTATTGTGCAAAATATATAAAGAAGCCTTAACTCAACAATAAGAAAATAAAGAACCTGATTTAAAAATGGTCCTTAACAGCTACCTCACCAAAGAAGATACACAGATGGCAAATTAGCTTATGCAAAGATGCTCCATATTATATGTCATCAGGGAAATGCAAATTAAACAAGCTATCACTACACATCTTTTAGAAAGGCCAAAATCCAGAACATTGAGAACACCAAACACTAGTAAGGATGTAGATCAATAGGAACTTTCATGCATTGCTGATGAGAATGCAAAATGGTACAGCTGCATTGGAAGACAGTTTGGTGGTTTCTTAAAAAACTAAGCATGCTCTTACCATGTGAGCCAGCAATCACTCTCCTTGGTATTTACCCAACAGAGCTGAAAACTTATGTCCACACAAAAACCTGCACAGAGGTGTTTATAGCAGCTTTATTCATAATTGCCAAAACTTAAAAGCAACCAAGATGTCATTCAGTAGGTGAGTGGATAAATAAACTGTGATACATCCAGATAATGTAATATTATTTAGTGCTCAAAAGAATTGAGCTATCAAGCCATGAAAAGATATAAAGGTAGCTCACATGCATACTAAAAGGTTCAAGAATTCAATCTGAAAAGGCTACGTACTGTATGAGTCCAACCATATGACATTCTGGAAATGGCAAAACTGTGAAAACAATAAAAAGATCAGGAGTTGCCAAAGGTTCAGGGGATGGGAAGGGAAGGATGAATTGGCAGATCACAAAGGATTTCTAGGGCAGTGAAAATACTCTGTATGATACAACAATGGTAGATGTATGTCGTTATACATTTGTCCAAACCCATAGAATGTACACCACTAAGAGTAAACCCTTTATGTAAACTATGGACTCTGGGTGATAATGACGTTCAATGTAGATTCATCAATTTCAACAAGTGTACCACTGTGATTGGGGATGTTAATAATGGGGGAGGCTGTGCATGTGTGGAGACCAGGGGGTATATGGTGAATCTCTGTACTTTCTGCTCAATTTTGTTGTGAACCTAAAACTGCTCTAAAAAATAAATGCTATTTTTAAAAAATTATCATACAGTAAAAAACAAAAAGAAAGGAAACTAAGTACTTCCATAAGTCTAGGTGTTTAATTATAGGATTTTTACGGATGATATTTTGTCTTATGACTTGAGTAGTTTTCAAAGACACTCATGAGGTCTAAAGAAATCCTCTACTTGGCATTTTGTTTTTAATTCTTAGGTCAGATGTTGCTATTTTGTATAATGATCGCTCCGTCCTTGAAAATCACCATGTGAGTGCAGCTTATCGGCTTATGCAAGAAGAAGAAATGAATGTCCTGGTAAATTTATCCAAAGATGACTGGAGGTGAGTTTCAGAGGAAACCTAGAGGAAATTTAATTTTAGGGAAAATGTTAAGTGATGTAAACTGAAGAAAACAGATGAAAATCAATCCTTTACTCACAAAACAAACTCAGTTCACTTTGACTGGATGATTCTGAGAATGATTAGTGCCTAGAAGACTCAGGAGCCAGGCTCTGTTACATGGAGCTGAACTATTTCAAGGCCAATTCAACATCTATATGCATCATAGCCAATCCATAAGATTATGTACCACATAAGAAAAACCTTAAAATACATAACTACATACTCCCGGGAATGGAGCTCTGCTCAGCTGTACCAATATGTGGTCCTACATGAATTCAAAATTTTAGCATCACACTGATCCCTTCATATATTACTTTTCTATATGTGTTTAGCTTTTCTAAAAATCAAAGAACTCACTATTTGGGGAAAAAGTTATGAATATAACATACTAAAATGACCTAGATGCAAAGGGTAATCTTACATGTTTCTCCAAGGCATCTGTCCTCTTAAAAAGAAAAAAAAAATTACGTGAAATGGTATTGCTTATTGCCATGCAGGGAAAAATAACAAGATGCACCCCTACTGCTCAGCATAACATTCCCTCCTTTCTTCTTGATCCTCAGGTCATCATCATCCCCTTCATTTGACTATAGGCTTGCCAGATGTAACAAATAAAAATAAAGGACATCCAGTTAAATATAAATTTCAAATAAACATAGACATTTTTTAGTGTAAGTATATTCCTAATTTTCTGTGGGACCTACTTACATTAAAAAAAAAAAAAAGAAAGCCTTTATCTTTAACTAAGATCTTGTTAAAAGTCAGTTAATGGGCTGAAAAAATTCCTATTCAAATTCAAATATCAAAGTGTTGTTTAGGTTTGTTTCTGTTTTTGTTTTTTTCTTTAAATCAAGGTGAAAAGAAATGTCCAAAGAAGTAACCTGGAATTAAGATCTGCCTTAAAATAAATAAATAAAAGTTTAATTCAGGGTTTAAAACAAGCCCTAATTTCCCATGGTTACTTCTCCAAATATTAAAACTTCCTGGATTTTCAAGGCTGGAAAAAATATGGGCTCACTTTTGCAACTGTAGAAAAAGCTCTGAAGTCAGGGGAAGGAGGCATTTTGTTTTGGGAACCCAATTCAGGCCTCTCATTTTATGCCACAGGAAACAATAGCACAGTTGGGTCACCAACCTAGGAAGGCCAGGATCTAATTGTGAAGCCACCACTGCTGGGTATGGGGAAAACAGAAGGGCAAGGGTAGAAGCAGGGACACAAGTGCAGAGGTGTTTCCTAAGGTCCGAGAGATTGACTGTTTATATCTAGAGTATTAATTTATTTCTTCATCAGTGATTATCATTCCCAGAGGTAACATTTGTATTATTAGTTTTATTATTCCTTTGAATTAACGCTTTTCTTCTCAAAGTTATTCTGTTGCTATTTCAGTGTGATTTTTTTCTATTACACTTCGTTCTTTAACATCTTTATTATTTATTCTCATAATTTACTCCTCTAATATTTTATATTTTTGTACAGTAGCTAAGAAGTTACTGTACAAAACATCCTAATTGAGTGTTTTTATAGAATTTTTCTTTTCAGCCGCTCCACAAGGCTTGCAGGATCTTAGTTCCCCAGCCGGGGATAGAACCCGTGGCCCCAGCAGTGAGAGCACCAAGTCCTAACCACTGGACTGCCAGGGAATTCCCAAATTTTTTTAACACATACTATAATATCACATGATTTATGATTTGATTTATCATATGATTTAACACTGCTTCCAAAAAGCTGTAAAAGATTTATTTAATAGTATAAACTTGATACTATTTTACCAAGAATTAAAATATAGATAGAGGGACTTCCCTGGTGGCTCAGTGATTAAGATTCCGCCTGCCAATTCAGGAGACAGGGGTTCAAGCCCAGGTCTGGGAAGATCCCACATGCGGCGGAACAACTAAGCCCGTGTGCCACAACTACTGAGCCCACGTGCCGCAACTACTGAAGCCCACGCGTCTAGAGCCCATGCTCCACAACAAGAAAAGCCACGGCAATGAGAAGCCCGCACACTGCAACTAGAGAAAGCCCGCACGCAGCGACGAAGACCCAACACAGCCAAAAATAAATAAATTTAATAAATAAATAAAATAAAATATGGGTAGCTAGCTTTTTAAGGGTTTGTAGGTTTTCTGTTTGCAAATCTATTTTTTAAAGTAACTTTAGTAACTATAAATGCAGTAATTTTTAAATTTTGGCAAGAAAAATGTATAAATAAAGTAACATTTCCTTTGTGCACTAGTTTGCCTATTGATATTAGTTGATTATTGACAATATCTAACATTTATTGATTACTGTTAAAAAACAAAGTTCAACTGAGTAAATTTTAAAAATCTTATTGGCTTTATTCAACCCAATTCATGAATTGGGCAGCATCCCATCTAGCAAATGAAAAGGAGCTCCAAATAACTGTACAAAATGGCAGACTTTTATAAGCAGAAAGAGGAAGACAAGGAAGTTATTCTATCAAGGAGCTGATTATTTCAGGCAAATTCACCTTCCTTTGGGGGATGACAGGGGTCTGTCAGGTGGATTACCTCACTAGTGCTGACCAGGTGATTCCACATTGATTGGTTTAAGTTTCCAATCCTGGGGGAGGTATTAAGTCTTGTTTGGTGATGTGGGCTTAGCACAAGGACTCCATTTTGGGTCTGTTGTCTCTTTTTTAACATCACATCTGCAAAGTACAAAGTATTTATTAAATTTTATAGATTTCATAAAACTTTTGTCTCATTTTTCCTAGTTAACATGAATATTTTGGTACAGTTGGTATTGTAACATGGGTATCTCGTAATTTAGAAGAAAAAATGCAATTGAGAATAAGTATTAACTATCTTTGATAGCTTCCATTCCCTTAATATTTGGGTAAAAGAATTCTAAGCAAGCTATACAATATCATGAACAGTAATCAGAGTATTGTTTTCTCATTGCTCCTATCTAAAAATCCAACTGAATTGAGCACCCATAATTTTCAGCAAGAATCTCCAATATGTGGTTGTTCTTAAAAACAAATCATTCAATCATACCATCTTTAGGTAAAATATCTTTGACACAAGATCATAATTCAAGTTTAGCATACACCTGTAATTTAGCTTATTCTACTGGCCACAGAATGAAATAAAATATCGTTTCCAGTATAAGTGACTTTTTTACCTATCTGTACTGAGCAAGCAATGAATTGTAGAACATGCAAGCCTTTACTGGCATTACTCATCTCCTGCTTACTGTGAGAATGAGTTATTCATTCATAGGCTTTGTGATATGTTCACCGTATTTGAAGTGTCTTGGTTAAAATTTTAACAGTACCAGTAGCTGTGTCTATGATATGTAGGATCGAGGTCCCCAGGGCTTAAACAGAGAATTCCCGCTCACTTATAGCCTTGGTTTCTCTGGAGTCCTCATGATGGAAGCTTGGTACAGTGGAGTGATCCAAGTGTCAGCTTTGCTAGTGGGAACTCTTGGGGGTGAATCTTATCTCTGCTATGTACTAGCTGTGTGACTCAGCAAACAACTCAATCCCCTCTGGTGGGAAATAATAGTACCCCCTCACATAAAAGCACCTAGAACACTGCCTTGATTGAATAAATATTGAATAAATGGTGGTGGTTTTCTTAATTACAAATTCTGCCTTTAGAATAGTTTTTTCTTTAAAATTAGTTAGGATTCTTTCTGATATTATTATTTCTAAAAATAATATTTAGAAATTATGAGTGGGGGAGGGATGTAGGTGTGGGAGGGAAGGCATCCAGTTCTTTAAAAGGAGATGTTGCACAGCATCATTCACAAATCACTCTCCTGGCAACATCCTAAAGCCAAACTTTCGTAAGCTCTTTTACATTTAAAATGTAGCATCTTTTGTGCTCATACCATTAGAAAAAATAAAATGTAATTCGCAATATTAAGGAAATATTTCACTTGAGAACAAAAAGGGGCCAAGCAAACCTTTCTGCTTTTGATGACTCCACAGGGATCTTCGGAACCTAGTGATTGAAATGGTTTTGTCTACAGACATGTCGGGTCACTTCCAGCAAATTAAAAATATAAGAAACAGTTTGCAGCAGCCTGAAGGGTAGGTGTTTTTTTTTTTTTTTTTTCATGTTAAAGGTATATGGGCTTGGACTCAGAGGAGACTGTAATTGGTTACTTTGTTCTGATAATTTGAGCATGTCCTTGTTTTGACAGGCTTGACAAAGCCAAAACCATGTCCCTGATCCTCCATGCAGCAGACATCAGTCACCCAGCCAAATCCTGGCAGCTGCACCACCGATGGACCATGGCCCTGATGGAGGAGTTTTTCCTACAGGTGCCTCTTTCATGTTCTGTGTCTATGCAAATGTTTTTGGAAATAGTGACTGTGCATATCGACGTACATCTTCTCTGCAAAGAATCCAGACCTTGTGACTTGCTATTACCAACTTGGCCACAACACATTCTTGGGACTTCAGGCAGAATTTATTAATCTTTCAAATAAATGTATTAAATAATCCTATGCAGTATAATACATGTTTTAAAGAGGGTCAAGTCTTGGATCTCAGATGCCAATCTCAAGAGAGAAAGAAATTAACAAATGAGTCGCTATCTGCTGTTAAAAGGTAAAATGCTAAGGTTAGGTTTAGGGTTAGGGTTTGCAGAAGCAGCAAATAGCTTTCATCATAAAAAGAGAAAGGGAGGATTTATAACACTTCTGCATACATCTTGCTGGTTAGAATTTAGTTATACATGCATAGTTGCAAGGATGGCTGAGAAATATAGCTTTTAGCTGGGTGAACATGTACCTAACTGCAAAAATCTATTGTTATGTGAAAAAGCAAGCCTGGATATTGTTGACAAAAAATTAATCAATAGCCAATCTAAGAAAGAAATGGAAAATTTTATTTGAGCCAAAATAAAGATTATAACCTGGGAGACAGTCTTTCAGAGAGTTCTGAGAACTGTTCTGAAGAGGTAAAGGGGGAGGCCAGTATATATGTGATTTCGGCAAGAGGGGTGCGTGCAATCAAGTATGCATCTCAGTAGAAGGTTGCTGCTAGTCACAAGGAACAGACATTTTAGTTAATGGTTTTAGTGCTTTTCTAAGTATGGGAAGATGCAAGAATCCAAGTTCACAAGAAATTTCTCCTGAAAATATCTAACTATCTGAAGGCCAGTTCTGTCAGTTTCCCCCCAGCACAAAGCACCACATCCTGATCTTCACCCTGAATTCCTTTCAGGGTGTATTGTAAGTCAGCAGCTTCAGTGCCTGATGACTTGATTATTGTAGGACTGGATGGCGGGCAACATTCTTTATTTTACAATCTCTCACCTTTAGGTCTTAATTTCGACCAAGATTTGGGAGGCATTTCATGACCAATTTGTTCCATGGCGCTAGGAATACTCATTCCCAGGTTGGGCAAGAATTTCGTTGTTAGGCCACTCAATGTACTATTACTGAACTAAACCCTGTTAACACTGGCCAAAAACCTCTGGAACTCCTGTCGTACTAGTCTCTTATGGTTCAGGAAATGGTTCCCTCTTGTTGCTTCTTCCCATATCTAGAGTTACACTATTGTAATCACTGATCTTATAGAACTGTATATTTGGTCAATTGTTTCAAGTTGCCTAATCATCATTAATTTTATCACAGTCACACATTTAGTAATGCAAGAAACAATCATCTTGTAAAATAGGCAGAATACAAGTACTAAGGTCATAGTGAGTACTTAAGTTAAAAACTTCCATTAGGTGTGACCCAGTATCTCTCCAGGTCATCTGACCAGTCTGCTTTGCACCAATCGCTATCTTTAAGGGAAATGATGCATCGGCATTGTACATAAAGTGCACCAAAGATGTCTGCACATACGAGGTGAGCAGTGGGTCATCTAGACCCCTTACAAGATTGCAAAAAGCAATGTTAATTTCTAAGGAGTTACATGGCTGGTGCCAGAAGGAAAAGAATTGATCTTTATGATTGAGCAGGTATTTCTGCCATTGGGGAGGTTTGGTTAATGCATAATGCAGATGCACAATGGACACTAGAGGGGAGGGAAGAGGCCCAGATGGGCAGAGCAAAAAAATATGTTTAAATTTTTCTTGTCTTGCCTTAAAATGTGAATTTTTATTTCATCAATGTGGAGAATGACCAGTGTTCTCTACAAGTATATGTTTTTTTTCTCTATGGTGTCCTTATTCTGTTTCTACTCCCATTGGGGTACTACAGTAAAATGAGCCAAGTAACTCAGGAAAGTGCTCTACTTACAATTATAGTTTTATTATAAAGAATACAACTCAGGGACAGCCAAATGAAGAAGTGCATAGGCCAAGGTCTGGAAGGGTCCCAGATATGAATCTTCCACGCTCTCTCCCCGTAGGGTCAGGGTGTGTCACCTTCCTGACACATCAATGTGTTCACCAACTAAAACGTGCCACTGAGTTTTGGTGTCAGGAGTGTTTATGGGGATTCATTACATAGGCATGACTGATTAAATCATTGCCCATGTGATGGAACTCAACTTCCAGCCCTCCTTTCCTCCCAGATGACGCTGCCCCAATATTCCAACCCTCTAATCATGTGATTGGTCTCTCTGGTGAGCAGCCCTATCCTGAAGCAATCTAAGGGGTCTTATGCCATGAGTCACATAATTAGCATAACAAAGAATCTCCTATCACTCAGGAAATTTCATGGGTTTTTGAACCTTTGTGCCAGGAACCAGGAACAAAGATCAGATACATTATTTATGATGCCACAGTCCTGTTTAGAGAAGCTCTTTTTTAACTTCTGTATTTTCAGATTATTTGATTTCTCAACATTGTTCTTTATTTGTAATCTTTATTTTTTAATGTTTCACTTATTCTGAAAACATAAAGACCAAATACATTGTAGTTAGATGACTATGGTTTTTGTCTCCTATTGTCAATAGGTATATGGTTTCACTTTGAAATAGCGTTGCATAGTCCTAGAGAAAGTTACTAAGTAACATCTTCGAAATTCAAATATTTTTACATTAAAAATGTCTTTAGGGCTTCCCTGGTGGCGCAGTGGTTAAGAGTCCGCCTGCCGATGCAGGGGACACGGGTTCGTGCCCCGGTCCGGGAAGATCCCACATGCCGCAGAGCAGCTAGGCCCGTGAGCCATGGCCGCTGAGCCTGCGCGTCCAGAGCCTGTGCTCCGCAACAGGAGAGACCACAACAGTGAGAGGCCTGCATACCGCAAAAAAAAAAAAAAAAAAGTCTTAAAAAAATATTTTAATACATTTTGTGCTTAAAAATAAAAAACCAAATGTTAAAATCTGTTCAATTCTAAAGGCAAGCTGCATGCTATGGCCAATTAAAAATTATAATTTTAGTTACTCAACGAATCATCAGACAATGGTAAATATAAAATAGACTTAGAGAGCTTTAATAACAACATTCTCACATTAGAGATGAAAAAAACAGAACCAGGAAAAGATAAAATGACTTTTCTTGGGTTAAGAAGAAATAATAAAATATTTTTAATTGAATGACCATGAAAACACAACATATGAAAATTTGTGGGATGCAGCTGAAGCAATGCTAAGAGAAAATTTTATAGCTTTAGATGCTTATATTAGAAGAATGTATAAATCAATTATCTATGTTTCTACCTTACTAAATAAGCTAAGAAAAGTTAAGAAAATTAAACCAAAATAAGTTGATGGAAGGAGATAATAAATATAAAAGCAGAAATCGATGAAATAGAACAAGACAAACAATAGCAAAAATTAACAAAAGCAACAGCTGTTTCTCTGAAAAAAATAAAATAAAATTACTAGCAGGATCAAAAAGAGAAAAGAACAGCATAAATTGTAAAGGAAAGAAGAGATATCGTTACAGATCTATATATATCAAAAGGATAAAGAATGTTATACACAATATAAATTTAATGACTCAGATGAAATTACCAAATTATTTGAAAGATACAAATTACCAAAACAGACACAAGAAAAAAACTGTAATCTGAATATCCATATATCTGTTTTTAAACACTGTAGTTTAAACTCTTCCTGTGAAGAAAATTCCAGGCTTAAATGGCTTCAGTTTTTAATTCTCATTTCAATTCTTAATTCTCAGTTCAGCTGAGAGAGGGTGAATTCTCTCAAACTTTTCAGGAAAAAATAATGCCAGTCTTACACAAATTCTTTCATGATATGGAGGAAGAGGGAAAATTGTCAATATAACCCCTGACAAAAGCTAACAAAGCCTTTGCAAGTAAGAAGATTGTACACCCATATCTGTCATGAACCTAGATGTAAAATTCCTTAAAATATTAGCAGATCCAACTCAGCAATATAGTAAAAGGGTACACATCATGACCTCCATTGACTTACTACTCAAAAATCATTTAGGTACTTTACCATATTAAGAGGAAAAAAGGGGGGGGGGGAATCCTATTATCATCTCAATACTTGCAGAAAAAGCATTTGACAAAATTCAAAAGACATTTATTATAAAAACCTTCAGCAAACTAGAAATAGGAGACCTCTCTCAACCTGGCAAAAGGTGCCTATAGTTAACAATACTTCATGGTGAAATATTGAACACTTTCATTCTAAGATTTGGATGTCTACTCTTACCACTTCCATTCAACATTGCATTTGAAATTCTAGGTAGTGCAATAAGGTAATAAAAGGAAATAAAGAGTAGATTGGATAAAAATAAATAAAACTGTCTTATTTCCAGAAACATGAGCATCTACATAGAAAATCTTAAAGAATCTGTTAAAAGCTACTTGGACTGATAAATGAGTTTATCAGGGTTGTTGAATTAATTGTATTTCTGTATGCTAGCAGCAAAAAATTTGAAAATGAAAATTTAAAAACAATATTATTTATAATAGCATAAAAATAGTAAACTATATGGGAATATATTAATTAAATACATATAAAACCTTGATACAGAAAACCACAGAATATTGTTGAGAAAAAAATTTTAAAGATCTATATAAATGGAGAGATATACTATGTTAATGGATTGAAAGATCTAATATTGCCAAGATGTCAATTCTTCCAAAATTATTTAATATATTTAACATAATCCTTATTAAATATTACAATAGTCTTCTTTATAGAAGCTGAAAGAAAAGCTGATCCTAAAATCTCCATGGAAAAGAATCTAAAATAGTCAAAATAATTTTGAAAATGACTAAGAGTTGAAGGACTTACACTTCCTTATTACACAACTTGGTATAAAGCTACAGTAATCAAGGCAGTGTGTTACTGACATAGGGACAGACAAATAGGCAATAAAATAGAATAGTGATTCCAGAAATAGTTCCATACTTAGACGATCATTTGATTTTCTACAAAA